CAAAAGGTTTAGAAAACCATTGTGCCCACTGAAAAAGAAAACCCCAGACCAATGGCTCTCAAGCTTTTTGAGCATATGGACCCCTTTTCAATCTATTACGATTTTATAGACCCTCCCATATAATATAGCTGTGCCTGCAGCCTGCACATCCCTCAGCCTGTGCTACTTCCTGAGCCGCATCCCTCAGCCCATTGTGGAAGCAGCGTGGGCCGAGGGACTTGCTGGCTGCCAGCACAGAGCCGGCAGGAAGCAACATGGGCTAAAGGACATGCTGGCTGTGAGAGACTCAGTACATTTATTTTATTTTCTATTTTAAGCTTTCTGAGGAACCCCTACAGTACCATCACAGACTACCAGGGGTCTGTGGACTACAGGTTGGGAACCACTGACATGGACCATACTCAGGATCTTCAGTGTGAACTTTTTCCTCTTTTTGTGGGAGCTGCTTTTCAAAAGGGTCATATCAAAAGTTTCAGGCCAGATTTACAAGGGGACTTTAATACCATGCATAAAACAGGAGGAGATAGTGGTTGTGAAGAGCCCACCTACCTTTTTTTTACCCAATAGTCCAGTAAAGGGCACTCGCCTGGGATGTATAAGACCTAGGTTTAAATCTCCAGTCAGAACATGGACTTGGTCTCACATCTCTCAGGTGATTGACGTATTCACAAGTCTCTATTGGGCTATTCTGGGATGGATCAATCACTTGTAGAAGCTGTTCCACTTAGCATAAATATATATTCATTAGACCACAGAGTAATTAAATATTCATGAGATGGTTAGAGCACTCACCTGGGAGTGGAGACACCCAAGTTCCAGTCCCTACTCCAAAGAATGTTTACACAAAGCAGACTAACTTCAACAGTAGAGACAGAGAGAGCTAATCACATAATAGCCAATAACTTGTTGGATAGGGCACTGACCTTGGATATGGGCTATTGGGCATAATAAGACCATCACCAATCCATGATTGGCACCTAAATTCCCACGTAATGTAGCCCGAAAAATTTAAGTGTTTAATTTTGAATTTTAATCTAAATTTTTCTTAATTTTCCCCCAGTTAAAATTTTCCAAAATCAACAAGAATTTGTTAAAAATGTCAGTTAATCCAAATCTGCATAAGGTTCTGTTAAAAAAAAAGTGTCCAGCTCTACATTTTAGACAAATGGAAATGTTTTATTCCAATTATTGATAGTTTTAAAAGGTTGGACATACCACCTGCCAACATCAAGAAATAAAACAAAATAGCTGAGCAGTACTAGAAGACAAGTTAAAAGTGAACAGGTATTTCTTAATGATGGACAGAGTTTGGTTCTTATTACCTTCAATAGCAAAAAAAAAAAAAAAAAAAAAATCAACCCTCAGTTCAAGACTCACGTCCTAGAATATGTTATTTTTCCATGCAACTATTCAAGATTTTCTTTTACATGTCTCAAACAACTTCATAGTAAAATCTTCAAGGCAATAACCAGCCAAAATGTTTAGAGATGAACTTTTTTTTACCTCTAGAGATGAATGCTACGTCAGTTGTACATGTGTAGTAATAGAACAGTGATTAACTGAGGCAAAGATCCTAAACTTGATTTCTTAATTATGGATAGTAAACTGGATTTTAATTGATATAAAATAATCTATGATATATATTGCTTCAGTTATGTATGCATGCATATGAGTGTAAGTGTCAAGACTATGATAAAACTTCCATCTTAGGGCAGGGCTACTCAACACGGAGCCCCAGGCCGCATGCGGCCCCCAGCCCATTTGTTTGCGGCCTGTGGTGCAGGTTGGGTTTATGCAGGACTTAACACACGGCCCGCGGGTGAGATCCTTTGAATATGGCCTCCACTGGGAACACACTCCTTAACGGTGAATCAATATAATGGTCTTCTGTTGATATGCGTTTTAGCAGTTAAATTCCTCAACTGTCATTGCTCATTAAAAGTGCTGTCATACGGGTGGAAATCAGGTAACTATTGCATTTTATTAATAGCAGAACTGACTTAAATGGGGCCTGCGTGTTGTGTAGTCTTGCCTTAATCTTTGTATTCATGCCTGTCAGTGCTAAATAAATCAAGCTTCAGGATCTATAACCATAAGGCATATTTTCTTGATCATTCTCTTGGCTGTTCTCTGAACCCGTGCGAGTTTATCAAACACCTTCTTGAATAATGGACACAGTATTCCATTAGCAGTCATACCAGTGCCAAATACAGAGGTAAGATAACTATTGCTATTCAAGATTCCCCTCATAGTGCAAGGGGAGTTGTTCCTGCTGCTCTGGATCATAGGTAGGCCACAACACCACACTACTTCTCCAGGAGCACTGTCAAAAATCAGAGAGAATTAGAAGACCAGTTGTTAGTGTCGGACTTTCTCAGGTTGCAAGTCTGTGTGCTCTGTCCCTCAGGTGGTGGCAGAGTTAATGAGCAATCTGCAACAATAGTCTGTGCACTCAGGTCTTGAGGCTCGGTGAAGCTGACAAGCTGTCTATTGTCTCAGATCTTCAGTCAGGGCAGAGCTATTAAGCAGATGGCAGGGCCTAACTTTCAAGCAGAGCAAAACACCTAAGAGGTCTATGGGTTTTTGTCCTAAGACGAAAAGAAAGTAGATTGGCCCTGAACCTCAGTTAGGGGAAGACCAAAAGGATAGTCTGGGTTCTGATCTTCAAGGAGCATGCAGAGCAAGCTAACTGTTTACAGGTTCTAGCTCTCAGGCAGGGGCAGTTCTGGCAGATGGCAGACAACACAGGCCTTTTGGCTTGTGATGGGGAGGCTGTCCCTCCAGGTAAGGTTGAAGTAGGGGCACCGAAACCCACCTGACTCCACCAGGTCCCAGTCTGGGCCCTAAAGAGGAGTGGAGTGGAGGAATGTCCCAACACTGAGTCGGGGGATTCTAGCCACAACACACTGACCTGGGTACTGGCAGGAACACAGCTTAACTATAGTCATCTGCCAGTCCCGGGCTTCCCATCATAGTGTACCTGGATCCCAGGGTCATCCTCCATCCTCCATCCCATCATGATAGCAGTAGTCCTAGCAGTTCCTTGACATCTGAAGTGGCCAATGGCTCTGCAAGCATAGATGAGAAGTCAGGGCAGAGAGGTTCTCAGTGTCCCAGTCCGTCTCCTTCAGCAGTTCCCCTGTGAACTTGGTCTCCTTCTGGGTCAGAGTCTTGTCTGGCTTAGCAGCAGCAAAAGGCCTGGCAGGAGCATCCCATCATGATAGCAGTAGTCCTAGCAGTTCCTTGACATCTGAAGTGGCCAATGGCTCTGCAAGCATAGATGAGAAGTCAGGGCAGAGAGGTTCTCAGTGTCCCAGTCCGTCTCCTTCAGCAGTTCCCCTGTGAACTTGGTCTCCTTCTGGGTCAGAGTCTTGTCTGGCTTAGCAGCAGCAAAAGGCCTGGCAGGAGCAGGGCATG